TGAAAAGCAAAGGCCATGTAGCAAAATATAGAAAGGGATATTCAAATATAATTTTTTCTGTCTATTTTTGTTTGTTTCTTTTAATAGAAATTAGTGTTGCGCCGATGCCATTTTTTGGCCCCGATACCTGGCTGTGCAGTATCGGCCAATACCGATACCATAATAATGTAAAATAATTGCCATCACGGCTTTGTCAAGCTGCTGCCTACCTTTGTGAAGCAGGAAAAACTCTAATACAAAGTGAATCAAGTAGAACTTTGTATTGCCTACCAGGCATGGGTGACAATAGTTGAATAAACCTATGGCTCTCAAAATGGTATCGGTGCCCTATTTGTTGGTACTCGCCGATACCGATACCACCATTTTAGGGCAGTATCGGGGCCCCGTCCGATACTGGTATCGGTATCGGTGCAACACTAATAGAAATATAGGTCGGACTCCCAAAATAAACTGAAAGGTTTGTCCCCTTTTCAATAGAGGAGTCACCTTGAAGACTCTTCATCCCACTGAATTGGGATTACATGTGGTCTAAATTATTCCTGGTCCTGCCAGAACGAGAACTGCTTCGTCTCTTTAACATGAACTTGAGCTGTAAGAAAAACAAACAAAGAAAAATGTTATAACTCAGTGAGACCAGATTATATTATAAAAAGGAGACATTTAAAATGATGATTCAGGATTGTTCTACATGAGTCCCTGCCTAAAAGTAAAACATGGTTAAAATCTTAAATGTGATCATTCTCCTGGTTAAATTTAGTATAAATCGATGTTAGACTCCTGGATAAATTAGAATAATTCTTAGTGTTAAAGGGGCCAAGATTGTAGCAGCTTTCTACTGTCTTGAAGTAGCACCAGTTTAACATTGTCACATCAGTGAAAACCACTTTTTTCTTTGGATCATTATTTAGTCTGAAATCTATTTTAAAATCAATTATCAATCAGTTATTATCTTTATTAATTGTTTGCTTTATTGACACCTGATTTAATAAAAAAGGACACTTTAGAATACAGATGCTACTTAGTTATTCAGAATTCATCTGAGTTATAGTAGGTTCTCTCATCCTGGAGGTAACCAGGATATCCTCTAAGGGGATATTTCCAACGGTTACAGTCAGAGCTCACTAAGAAAGAGATCAATATCCAATATGGCTGCCTTGATACAAAAGTCGCACTTATCAGTGCTTCTGATAGTACCTGTTTATTGTTGCACTCAGTGTGATAAAACCTCTGCTGGTGGGCCTATTTAATATTAGTTTAATTTCCCTTTGGGATCAATAAAGTATTTTTTTTAAAGCTGTATTGAAACAAATTAGAGAGAGACCCTGATTGGCTTCTACTGCTGATATCTTGCATGCAAACAAATCCCAGGGATTTTCGGGCTTCTGTCTACAATTTGCTTTATTATAGACGTAATTAATAAATCTAAGGTCCAACTTCAGAGACAAATCTAACATAAAATTAGTCTGGATGGAAACTGTTCACATGTTTAATAATCAATTTAATTTGCAGTGGTGCTACACCTCCTGTTATTCTGTGTAAATATTCACCAAATCATTGGTTCTTAAAGAATGATCCAGCAAAACAATGCTGGAGTCTTATAAAGTTGCTAAAATCCAATTCCATGTGGCTCCATTCTGACTTCCACAGCAGACTAATTTGGATTTATACCATAAAGACACCCAGATAGTTATCCGCTGCAACCAAGGCTGAAACAATTAATCGGATTAATCGATTATTAAAATAATCGTCGACTCATTTAATAATCAGTCGTTAACTGGAGTATAGAGACCCTAAAACATGCCTTTAGCTGAGAGACCAACCAACTTAGAGCAGCTATTACACCAAAATTGTAAAAACAAAAATTATATTTAGAATAAAAATCTTTTTCTTTTGTCAATATGCTCTATCCAGCCTCCTCAAGTGGAAAAGTTTTAGTTTCACTTGGTTTAATTTAGTAAAAAGTCTTCTTTAGGGAACCTTTTGCTATCCGATTATTAATCTATTAAAAAAATACCAACAGATTAATCGATTTGCAAAAGAATCGTTAGTTGCAGCCCTAGCTGCAGCCAATATATTTACTGATTATAACACTGAGAAAAAGTGAGCAGCATACCCTTTCTCCTTGCGGGCCGCTCTGCAGCAGGTGAGCCGGCTGGTCGTTCTCGAGGTTCCGGATGCTTGGATCTGCCCCTCGGTCCAGCAGAAGCTGCAGGATCTTCTCCTGGTTAGGGTTGCTGTGAAGCCCCGCCGCCATGTGTAAAGCCGTGTGACCGTGAGCCTGTTGCAAAGACATGAACATGGCATGACTAAGGCAGTTCAGGCGGTGTAATTTTAATGTTCAATGTACAGCGAACTCGTGAGTAGAGTCATTCCGAGAATACCGTTTTGACATTTAGGTCAGTGTGGGACTCACTTTCATGTTAACAAAGTCTTTCATGTTTGGCAGGCGAAAACTGAGCAGGTAGTCCACCAGTTTAATGTTCCCCTCCTTCACAGCCAAGTGAAGTATGGTCTTGTTACTTTTGATTTCCTGTAAGTTAATAATGGTAAGAAAAGGGAAGGGAAGAAATTATGAAACTGTTAGTCCTAAAATGGTACATAAGTGTCAAAGCAGACAGAGAAAACAAAAGAGAATAAAAGGGACTGGTGTCTGCACTATGACATCATGTTGGTTAGATGAAACAAAGGACTTCCTCTTTGCACATTCTCACGGAACGTTCATGGGTTAACACAGCCCATTCAATGTGACCAGCTCTACTGAGCTGCAGTACCTGGCTGAGAAGCGACGCTCCTGCAATGATCAGCATCTGGACACACGAGAGCTTCTCATCCCCTTTGGCCTGAAGACCAACATCTGCCGGAGCGGCCATAAACGCTTTCATGGTGACACTGTGAGAAATGGCTGCACAGTGTAGAGGAGTCATACCTAAGGCAAAGAAGAAAGACTTACTTAGTGTTTTTAAATACGAACGAAGGGATATTTTCTCATTTTCATAAACGTAAAATATAAATTACCTTCGAAATTGCGGGCCTCTAGGTTGACATTTGGTCTACCTGACAGAAGTGCCTGCAGAGAAATAGAAATTATGATGAGGAACGCTAAAAAATGAATCTTCAACTACCTTTTTGGGGTGTAATAAAACATTTTCTTCACCCGTAGAACTGCTGGGAATCCATAGTGTGCAGCCAAATGAAGAGCAGTTTGACCTTTAAAGTCGCAGGCGTTTATGTCTGCTCCTAATGACAGAAGATCCTGCACAATCTCCGGCTGGTTGGCTGTCACCGCCACCAGTAGAGCAGTCTGCATGCAACACAGTTAGCATGCAAATTAAAGACATTATATTCAAAGTCGTTCATGTTGCTTGAAATATTTCACTTCTAATCCTTTCATTTATACCTTTCCTTTGTGTTCCTTGGCATCCAGTCTCCCTACTTCCTTCAGCCTCTCTGCAGCAGCGATAGCATACTCCCTGAGTCCTTTGGCTGTGTAGATGTGCAGGATCCTGTACAAAAAAACAAATGATGAATTACATGTAAACAGCATTGAGTGGCAGCAGTGATCCCCTCTGTTAATCCATTTGATCTATTTTCTCCGTCAAACACGATTTTACTCATGTTGTCTGACATGATTTAGCTCAGGTGGATGACGTACCAAACTGCAAATGCAGTTATCACTTTCTGCTAGCAGCTACAGACAAAACCGTATCAATGTAGAAACATGTTTTTGGATATATTCAGCAGCAATATCAGAAACTGAAACTATTTAGAAAGCTCCGGGTTCAAATTTCAGTACGGTGAACCCTTTCAGTGTTAGTTATGATTATGTTTTGCATCTGTGTCGGTAAAAGACTTAGTGCTTTAAAGCTATATTTTTTTTTATCCAAAATATCCTGGTATATTCAGCAGTCAAATGTATCAATTATTCCAAAGGTGTTATTTGAGAAATAAATCCACAGCATAATAGATCCTCTACCATGTTGAACAATGGGCATTGGGTGCTTCAGCTTATTTCTGAAGTAATGCTGAAGTGTTGCCAAAAAAAATCACTACACTCTGCTTGTTTGGCGTTAATAAGATGCTGGCCAGCTCTTATGCTTCTTTTCCTCAGGCTGTCAGCCCAACTCCACCCAGTCTGCTTTCCAATCATTTCCATTTCATATTTTTTCTTACTAGGTAAATTCATACCTGTTCAGTAGCCACTAAGTTGGAAGCTTAGTAGGGCTTATGTGAACAGACTGGTGATCCCTGATTGGCCATGAGATGGGGAGAATTTAGAACGCTTTTTGTTGAGGTAATCCAGGGAACAGCTAAACCGAAAAGCAAATACAAGATTTTAAGGAGCACCAAAAAAGACAAGGACTAGCTTTTTTGAATAATGTGTAGTAGGCACACATTATTTCTATCCTAGACCCTTGACCCAAAGATCAAATAAAAAGACAACATGTCTCATTTGTGTGCAGGGTTGAAAACACTGGAAGCTATTAATTATTGTTTCTAAAGAGAGTTTGAAAATGTTATCATGGTTTGAGTATGACTGCCTTTGCAATTGGAGCACCTTCCTGCACAGGATCTAAAGCAAAAGGAAACTCAGCCAATTCTGCACAACGCAAAACTCCACTATTCAGCCCATAAAACAGAGTGCAGAACAAAAATTAGGGCAATCTTATCATAAACAAATTTTCACTGTACGGTCCTGTCTGGCCTTCAGGCACAATCAATCTCAAAATACTCATAGAAAGACGAAAGCTGGGTTTAGCACTCATGGCTGTACACCAACTGAAAAATCTCAGCTGTCCAACAGGGAAATAATTGAACCTGTTTCTTTTTACAGACTGGCCTCTCTGCTAAAATCTCTCTGCCAAGAAAAAAATGAGTTATGAAAAGGGGCTCAATGAGCTTTGTTTAATTCTTTTTTTTCTCCTAACATGCATTCAATTTTAATTTTAAATAAAATTTCAGAAGGAATTTATAATTAAAATACCAGGTAATGACTCCTTTCATTATATAAAAATAGCTTGGACTATATAAGGCATGTTTCTCACTTTTCATTAACACCACCCTGGATTTTGTAGCTCAAATTAATTTCTATATAATCTTAAATACAAAAGATATATTATCTTATGAGAGCAAGGAGAAATGGTGAGAGTTTCAACTGTTAAACTGTTTAAATCTGATAAATAAATATTATCAAGCTGCTCCCTGAATCATACAATATTGTGGAGAAGATCAGACTTATATTTGCGAGGAATAGCTTTACATGCTGTTTGAATTACCAACAATAACCCCATTATAACATTATGATACACAATAAGCACTTATAAGTACTCACGTGTCACCATCTTCATCCTGACAAGTGGTCCTGCTGTAGTCCATCCCACTCAGTAGCATCCTGGCCTCATCCAGCTTTAAAGAATCCATTGATGAGCCATAAATATGCTGCGTGTTCTGACTCTGACCTAACAGGGGCCAAGATGAAGCCATGCTGGGTTCTCCTACCACAGAGCAGTCCGGCTGAAATGAAACCAACTATTATTGTCATACCGAGAATAAAGAAGCTGGTAATACTGGCTGTAGCTGAAATAGAACATTTCTCTTACATATGATGGAGATATTGAGTCTCCAAATATTGAGACGGGCTGCTGTGTGCTGTATTCAGGCTGTATTGGAAGGTAGGGTGGATCATAGCTGTGTCCTGGAGCACTGCTGTAGTAAGGGTGGGTAGATTCAAGGGGAGGGACCCATGACTGAAAGCTCACTGCCATGTCTGGGTTGCTTGTTGGTCCGGCTACATTGAAAACATCAGTAAACATTACATTATGACTTTGTGCACTCTATAAAATTCCCAAAGTAAGGAGCTGCTCAGCCGTGGCACAATTTATGTTAAGCTGCATGCAGCTGATATATAAAAGTGCAAACATACCAACAGCTATCTAACCTTTATCTTGCAATACCTTCTAAATATCAACAATGAAATCTTTCTGAACTAATGCTTTGTGAGAGGAGCTTAAGATTAATTTGTCTCACTTGCTCCCTATTTCACTGACTCTCAACCAGAAATTAAACTTAGTTGATCTTTCTCACAACTTAAATTATTTGGCAATGTGATGGAGAGAGCGCTTACAAGTGATTAGTGCACAAAAAGATAAATAACACTGCCTCATTAGTTAGAAATGGCTATTTCACCAAAACTTACATATAACTTGATAGAAAAATTCCCAAGAGATTGATAGCAACAGTTACGGATCTAAAATAATTATCAACCAGTAATAATAGTGACCTTTTTGTGGGAATGAACTACTGTATCCTGTTAGATGGATAAAATCAGGGTTTGTCAAAGTTCTACCATAACAACAGTGAGGAAAACCAAAAGGTCATCATACCCAAAATTAGACATAGCTGGATCATGTTAAATATTAACTGTGGTTTTCAGTATAAAATCTTCTGGGGTTTTGCCACAAAGCCGAAGAGGCATTTTATTTAGCTATGGGTTTAAGCGTGGATCCAAATTAGCAGAACAGTTTGAGACTTTTTATAAATGTTATAGATATGTGGGATCTTCTAAATCCAGCTGTCAATAAGAGTCATTGCTGGAGAATGTTGATCAAATCAAGTCAAAATGTTAAGTGCATGTGAAGTGCCACCAAAGAAGCATGTATAGTCTACTGGTATTGAATCAAATTATAATTTTACAAAGCATTTCTTTAAGGAATTCCAAAATTAACCTGCCAGATTGTTGCAACAATTATTCCTAGAAAATATTTGAAAAATATTGAATTGTACAGAATATATGTGACTGGATGAAAGACAAGATCTTTTATTTTATATCACTCTAAAGAGAATGTCCCACTGTTACCTGTGAGAGTAAATTGTTCTGATGAAGACAGCTCCTGTTAAACATAACAACAAAAAGAAAATGATTAATAAATACATATAGTGATACAGCATGGGGTAAAGAGCTGAGTTAATTGATGTGCTGGCTTACGGCAACTGTGTTCAGAGGAATTGGACTTGTACTGGCAGTGGAGCAGGGTGGAAGCACAGCTGACGTCTCACGTCTCCTCTTCTGTTCCAAAAGTTTCTTTACTGTGGGCTGGGTGCAACACGCCTTCTCTTTTGGTGCTGAAAAACCAAAAAAACCCCAAAAGGAATTACTTTTTCCTAATCGGATTTAATAATTACTAATTGATTACCATAACAGGTATTTAAAAAAAAGCAAAAGAAACTGCAAATCTTGGGAAAAAAAAGATGAATGTCAAACACTGGAAAAACATTTAAACATGGGGGAATTCAATAATAAAAGGGCATCTGGTATTGTAAAAAAAAATAATCCACACGCATAGTGCCAGTTACTGTACTGAAATCTAGCAGCAGATGGTGAAATAGAAATTGATAGGGTTTTTTAAATACCAGTAGGATTGTGGAACGGGCTGAACAGAGACTAAACAATCTGAGGGAACTGAATCAAATTAAACTCTTCTAATCAATTTCCTCACAACATTAGACAGAGCTATGGTTGAGTGTGTAGTATAAGTACCCTACATCACTACAGCTGTTATACGGCCAACAAGAGCATCCTGCAGAAGATATATAGGGAGGGGAGCTGGAAGGGCGATATATGAGTGTTCCTTTTTTAAGGATCTGTGCCATGTGTCTGCATGTAAAGGGCTGTGGATGCTGTCAGAGATTTCAGATAGACCTAACATGAACTTTTCCATCTGTTTCTGTAAGACAAACTGTTTGGCAGCATGAACATTTGGATCAAGTTGAAAAAAATCTTTCAGTATTAACCAGTTATTAACCTACCACTGACTGGATGCACTTTGTGTTTGTTTGTTTTTGTTTTGTTTTGTGGGAAGCATCTCCCAATGTAGAGACGCTTCCACAAAAAGCCTAAAAGGTTTTTTTACTTCTTTTACTTGAAGAGTGATGAATTATCTTTCTTCTTTTTTTTGCGATCACAGCTATAAAAATCTGAACATTTAGTCTCTTAAATGACATAACAACTATACATTTTACTGTTTATTTCTTTAATTTTAAAAAATACTAAACTAAAACACTTTTTCAAGCTATGCAAACCCCTTGTGATATTTTAAGGCTATCTACTTCCCATTTGGATATAATAGGGTCCTCTTCTAAATATCTTTCTCAGCTTTCATATGATTACAGTTTTGGTTTCATTACATTTTTGATCAAATAATACTTCCTCTTGCCTAAAGCTAAGGACATCAGCCATTCTGTTGCTCAGCAGTGATCCTTCATTCCACTATTTTAGCTAAAATATTCTTCCTCCTGTCACATCATTATAAAAACATAATCAATTTGGATGTGAAATGACAGAAAAAACACTGCTTTTCACAATATATGGCTTTAAAATAACAATGTCTGAGTTATGAGCCCTTAAAATAAAAGCACAATCCAAGTCTCTATTGATCTCAGAGTAAAAAATCGTATCATCTGTAAAACTCCATGTTTTTAAACCTGATGCTTTGTCCACATTTAAAACATTGTGGAGCACTGAACTGAACTCTGAGCTCCTAAAACATTTAACCAACATGATGGTAGTTAGAAATCCTTTAAGTATACTTCTTTACTTTTACATTTATCTAAGTTTAACACCAGATTAAACTCAGGAAGTATGGATAAACTCAGCTTAACTTGGACTTCAGCTGCACAGGATCTTAATATATATAAACTCTGCTAATGGTATTCTTCATTCTCAGTCTTTTCTTTATAAATGATTTCTGCAATTTTAATGTTTCAGCTGCTGTTTAGCAGATAATCAAGTGATTCTTTTTTTTATATGACCTTCTTTCTGATATTAACTTTGTCGTTGAAATGTGGATATGACACAAATCAGGTTGAACTATAGCATCTGCTCAGATTTCATTCTTCAGCAGATTTCTAGGTCGTGTTGACTAATTGTTTTCTTTTAGCCAATTTCTAAGGGAAAATTCTAAGAAAAGGTATTCACTAGCACTTTTTAATCCTACTGAAAATGGTAAATAGTTTTGCAGGAAAGTAAATGAACTTTACACTGTGTTTTTATACTTTTTTATGGGCTTATGTGCTTTTTTTTTAGTCATAAATGTAATGAATCAATTTTTTTTTAAATATCGAACATACAGTAAATATTTGTATTGTATTTTCTCCTAAGCTTCAAAAAGCTTAGGAGATATTTCCTTGATGACACCACACACTTTCCAACAGCAAATGTAAAAAGAAGGTTCTTGACCCCAGTTTTAATTAAGACTTTTCCACCTGTACTTTTCCATGGAGGTTATAACCAATGACACAACACCTGGAACCACAGATTCTAAAAGGGTCTACCTACTAAAACTCCTTTAGAAAGACATAAATAGATCTAAATTAGTAAAAAACACTAGGTTCATTTATTGAAAAAGTACAGTTACCATGTCTCGCTTGGTTTGAAGTAAAAAAAAAAAAAAAAAAATTCCACTTATTTGATTGTATCAATTTCATCTGTAGGCATGACTTAAAAAAAACTTTGTTTTACTTACTCTGTATGTCAGGAAAGACTATTTTAAAGGCTTTTTAAATAAGCTATTCATTGTTTTAAACTCAGAGATTTGCACAAAACACCAAAAAAAACCAAAAGATTTTCAGATACCTTGGCTTATCAGAAAGTCAGACACATCAAGTTAAAATGTTTACAACAAGCTTGAGACCACTGCAATATAATGCAACTGATGTGAAACAAAGATTTACTAAAATTCACATTTTATATACAAAATGCTCTTGTTTTATCTTGAATAACTTGTGAATGAATGCAGCAAGTTTTTAGCAAACACAACCACAAATTAATTATCAAACCATATTAGAAACAATATACCTAAGGGAGGAATAAAAAAAAAAAATGTAAAACCTTTTAAGATGAATAGCAATATTAGAAATAATAATAGAAATAACTTATTTCCTTTTTTTCTTTTCACTCATCTTTTTTTCTGTCAATACAAAAGACAAAAGTCTTTTTAATCTTTGATGTTACTTTTGGGGCTTATCTGATCAGTTTCTCCATAGAGGGATTTTTCTTCCCCTTTTGTCCCACAGCTTAACACCTATTCTTTTATTTGATGTTCACGTTTCCCCTTCCGATGCTCATTTCCACCCAACAGGTAAAGGAAAAGCGTAAAAACAGCAAAGAAAACAACACCGCAAAATAGATATCTGCCTTTTCCAGCAAACAACGAGAAACCACACAGGTTTGTTTCCTCTGAAGCTTCCCCCATCACGTGAAAGATAAAACGCAGGCCCTATTTCCACCCCGTCTGTGGAACCCAGGTTCAAAGCATAGACTCTCACAAAACCTCCTCCATTAGGAACAAAGATCTTCTGTGGCCAGATGTACACAAAAAAGAAAACGAGAGACAGAAATTCATCAGAAAACCTTTAACACTGGATTGCCAGCGCTCATTTTCTGTGACACCTTCCTGCCCCGCTCCATTGCGCAAACCACATCTTCCTGCCTTTGGTGTGTCAGAGGCACGTCACATAGAGACATATGTAGTTTGCCTTTTGTTTGCTATTGCGCCCACATGTCTCAGAAGCACAGGCGTTAGGTTCAAGTCCATGTAAGAAATTATTGCGTGTCCTCTGAGGTAAACACAAAGAAAAGCTGAGGGGTTTTATTTTGGTTTCACTTTTGCCATTGTCTTTTCTCTTCTCAAAAACATCAATTCTCAGTTCCTGTTGAAAACATATTCTAGTGAAAAAAAAGAGCCATTTTCTGTGTCCTACTTTGTGCCCTAAAACACCTGATAAAGGTCACTTTGATCAGAAATGACATCAGTCAGAACAGATTAATGCCACAAAGTTTCATTTTCAGGTTCACGAGGTGTTACTACAACTTACTTAATGCTGACTCATTTGATCTTTACAGCAAAATGCTACCTTTGGCCTTTTCACTGATGATACAATGCTGGTGCAAGACAGCGAGAGATTGTGCATTAAAAAAGAGCTTCACCAGAGGTAGAAGTTGCTCTACACTTTACACTGAGAGAAACAGGAAACAAGAGGATGGCTTTTTATAGCAGGCCCAGACCAAATACAGCGAAATTGAGTTTCTGTGCAGACTACACTCAGTCTGTGATAAATTCAAATTGGGCCCTGTGGAAACCCCTGGACATTGAGTCACGCGCGTGGGAGGGCCGGGGATTCCGACGACCTTTCTCTTTTAGCTTGATCCCTCAGAGACAAGAAAGAGGCAGTGCATCACCAGGTTCCTCATTTTGTGGCTTTTCACTCTGGGTTTAAGTGCATGCAACAAAACACATGTAAAGTGATCAACCAAGCAAAAAAAGAAAAAAGGAAAGAAAGAAAGAAAAAAAACTGATAAACAGAAAGCTTAGGCAAAGCAGGCTGTTGCTGTCACATCACACAAAGCTGCTTTTTGGCATTAATCAAAAGAGGAAATGAAAATGTGCAAGCAGGGGTGGAGGTGCATCAGGGGTTCCCCAAAATCAGAACTGGACTCTTGGATTCACCCAAATAGTGATGTCATAGCAATGAAATGATACCATGAATTATAATTCAAGTTAGATATGTTTGTTTAAAGTTGTTTATGTTGGGATAAATGGGACTAAGAATAAGAACTAACATCGTAAGAAATTACAATATAAAAAATATATCACATATATTGAAGTTGATCAGGTTGATAAACACATTAGAATAAAATATTGTACCTTAATTTCCTTTTCTTTTTTTTCTTTTTTTTTTTTTACAATAACAATCTTTTTTGTCTTAACATTTTTTCAGAATGTGAACAATCTATCCAGAGGATTCTCTACAGCAAATGTAATAAACAAAAAAAAGCAATATATAAAGTTAATCAGAGTAGTAATACTCACATTTATCAAAGTGCATGTCAGAAACGGTTGTGCTCTGTGCCCCTTTTTTGTCGGATCGGTCAGTCTTTAGGGAGTCTTTTCAGAAACGGGATTCGTACTCAGAGCGGCTCAGGTGAGGCTGAAGAAGTGTGTCTGGTTTGTTGACAGCTGCTGCCGCTTGTAGGCATTGCTCTGGCCCCGCCCCTCCGCGTCGCTAAGCCCTTGTCCGTCTTTAAGCCCCGCCCCTGCAGCCTGCCTGGGAAACCCAGCTTTTTTTTAACCCACGCGTCCTCGTTCAAGCGAGGAGACTGAGGAGAAATGTTAGACAGTTACAGAGAAGTTTATGTGTGGACGGGCAAACAACAGTGAATCACATTAATGTAGAAGAGCAGGGAGGAAAAGAAAAGTGACATCAGAAGTTGTTTTTATTTTTTATTCCTGTAGATTATTTTGATCTAGAGCACCATTTTTTTTATTTAATTGTTTATATTAAATATTTGTCGGTTGTTGTATTGTTCAACTCGTGTTCCTATAAACCATATGTGAAACTTGTGCCATAAACCCTGCTGTGAGTTTGTCCATGGTTGCATTGTTGTTTTTCTCTCAGCCAAGGGATTTTCCGTTTTTAAATGCCAAACACACACAAAGTCACACTATAGCATCTCAATATAAGCAGTATAAAGTTAGACTAGGTCGCTACAAAATCTTTGATCATTTTTATATTTGGTGTCTGTGCGTTTAAGGTCAAAAACGAATAGTTAGACATTCTCCTTAAGTGATGCGTCAGTTATTACATGTCAATCACGTTGCTAGGCAACTGCTGCTGATATTCCAGCATAAATATGGACAAATTCATATTTTATTTAATCTGATCTAAATGAAAAATAATTTTAAAAATATGTGCATAAAAAGAGAGCAAACAAAAAGTTATCAAGCTGTTTTTTGTTTTTTTTTTTGCGGTTAAAAAAAATTATATACATTAAATGACAGAAATAATAAAAGGTTTATTTCTTCTGAAAATGTAACCGGATCACTGACACAAAGGAACTTTGATCTTTTCACCTAAAAATAATTAATAATTGTAATTACCTGTTTATTAAATAGTTTTTGAAAAGCATGTCTAAATTATGTATTTCTGAACTTTTACAGATTATGACTAGGTCTATAAAGGTAGAATTTAAAAAGCTTAGAGTTTAAACATTTTAATTTCCAACTCACTTGCTTTAATGCATGCAAACCAAAACTGATTGGTAGCCCGGTACACATCATCTTTAAAGGTTTGTCAAGTCTTTTCATAAAGTAGCTCTTTTTCCAAAGCAACATTTCCATTTGTCTTTTCAGAATAAAAACAGTCATAGACATACCGGTAGTATCATTTCTAGAATATCTTCTTTCATATAAAAAACATCAAATTGTAACTTTGTGATGCTGTGCTGAAATTATCTCTAGTTTTAGAGGCCAAAGCTGGCTTTGGCTAAACCTCATAATAGGTTTGTGTTTCTGACATCTTTGTTTTGACATAATTACATATCGGTTATCAATACATAAAGGCAGCAAACTAAAACCCTTAGATATAAGCATTAATAGCACCATGTTGGCATTTGATGAATTCAATGAAAAGATCAAATATATATTTTAGGGTACATAAACTTCAGGGGCTAAAGGATCAGAGACAAACACAAAGTTAAAATGTTTTAATAAGCTTAATATAATAGAATTTACAAAACATACAAAATACAACCACAAACTATAACCGAATGAGTCTTTATATAACAATTATTAGAAAGTTTTTCATTAAAAGCAAAAAAACAAAATCATTAAAAGTAATATGGCTGTGAAAAACATGAGATACTTTAATTGTCGATTGAAAATCAAGAACATGTTTTTGATATGTTGAGTCTCAAACACA